TGCCTGACTGATGGAGCTGCGATTTGCACTAAGGCATGTACGGGAGGACACAGTCATTCCTCCACCTCCTGTCGAAGAAGTGACGGAATTTCCAGGAGTCTACTTCCTCTACGGAGTAGAAGGCATTTGTCACCGTCAGCTTGCCCTTGAATATTCCCGGTTCTCTCCCTCCCCGAGGTGGCCATGTTGTGACGGAGGTGGCTACCCTTGGTTCTATCCCGGACAGCCTGAATATGTGGGACAAAGATGTCTGATGAACTTAATGCTAACGCCAAATAGGATAATGGACGTCATCAAAAGTCCGCCTGGTCAAGGCTGGAGCAGCATGGGCGTACTTTGAAACCACCATCTTTAAGTCAGCCTTGTGTCAAGCCGCTCGAGTTGACCAGACCCGAAACGGAGAATGCAGTCTCGTGTTATTCTCTCTGTCCGTCAAGGCTCAGGACCTAGTGCAATTTTTTGCACCGACGGTGGCAGGATTTTGAACGTAGCTTGGCTTGACCAACTACTCTTCGGATCTTCTCACCAGGTTGTTGAAGGAGCGAATACTCCTGGCTGATTTTCTTCCCTCAGCGCTTCAGGCCGTCCGTCTCCATGAGTCTGCGCGATATTCGAAGTATTCGTCAGGTTTCCCGTTGATTTAAAGCAAATCAGATTGGCTGACGATTGGTGAAGCTCCAAATGTCCCAACTCCCCAGGTTCTCCATCTATCTAAATATGGCCTCCATTGCCTTCTTCCGGTAAATGCTCTGAAACAGAGGCTCGGGGATTCGGGGCCGGTTGTTAGACCAGACTATAATTCGTCTTGTTATTATTTGAATTCAAGAGGGGAAAAGGACTCGAAGAACGATCTGCCTCGTAAGTCGTTTCTGACCCCTGCACCCAACACGTGGGGCCAACTAACAGAGTCCAGAAACCTACTTGGTTGGGATACTCTGTACCCATGTTTGTCGACTGTGCCGCAATTTAAGAGGCTTCCCTTGAGAGTCGAGATAGGCGTAGTGACCCTGCCACTGTCACAAAGCATCCCTGTCCTGTCAAACAGAAGATTGTTCCAGATCTTTGTCGTTGGTGAGTAGTGTTGGTCAACTAGCCAGACGAGGCTACGGACAATCTCAACGATATTAAATTTAGCCACTTAGTGGTCCTGGTGCCTGATGCTTATAAATTGCGGCGCAGACAATCCGGATCAGCACTCTGTCCTCTTAATCAAATGAAATTGTCCGTGCTTGGACCTTCCGAGCTCCAATGACTATTCGGAAGTAGAGGCCGTTACAGCTTACGAGATAGCACTCTGGTTATCTGGTATATCCAGGCAGGGCCACAGATCTTACAAACATACGGAGTACATCGAATAATGTATTCCAGAATACATTCATAGTCTTTTTCCGGTTTAGCGAAAATTTCTGAGAGAGCGTAATCCGCTAGTAACTTTGCTAGCAGACCATCCCACTCCACCTCTTCACGGACCGCCGTTTCGATCGACAGTCATGCCAATGTGATGAGATGCGATTCTGCTGTCTTAGGTGCGTTGGCTTGAAGTTTTTTTCACTTCTTGGCCCATTTCTAAAATGCCTGGAATCAACTACGGGAGTATCAAAGACACTCGATATAAATTTCTGGTTTGATCGTCTTATCCTGCAGATCCATAATCCACTCCCGCGCTATGTTACTACTTTCGTCACTTCGTGCTCATAAATACTGACCGTCCTGCCCGCTCAATCGCAAGGTTTCGTCCGCGAAAGCTGCTAACGCTCAACTATCACACCCTCATCCAGACTGTCGGGTCTGTAGAGTGATATCGGCCCATGCAGGCATCAGACGGTGGTCCCCGACTTTGCTTGGACGCAATCAATTATTAATCTAATTTTGATAAGCCCGATGCCTCCTTTGGGTATGTCGCTGGTCGCCTAGCCTCTGGACCTTCATACCTGGAACCCGAGAGTCTTAGAGTCTTGACCGTTCGCTCTCGAGTCGCGGATTTAAGGAGATTTCGGATGCGAGTCACTTTTCCACGTTGAACCAATTTGGGTATGTCGGTTGTCCCCTCGTGAATGGTTCATCACGCTATGTACGCTGTGCGCTCAGGATCCTGCGTGTGGAGATCATCATACAAAGCAATTGCTGCAATCCCTGCTGATATGCTTATATTGCTTACCGCTACTATGACCATCTTGCTGAAGCAATGCAGTATGGTGTCACTATCAAGTTATTTGAAATTTTCCACCTGTGATTCATGAGCTTCGCCGCTTGCTTCTCTGCTGGTGCTACTGCTGCTACGGACATGTAGTTTGTAGTAAATTAGTAATTCGTGTTCAGAGTCAATACTCCACCCGGATCGCATCTTTGTTTGTTAGCTTTTTGAAGCCGTTTCGTTCCACTTTCTATTGCTTTATTCATCGGCGATGTCCGCTCTAATCCACAATAGAAACTTTAGCAAATCCTGGCCCCCGTTCGGCAACTTATCCAGCTGCCATGGTATTAAGTCTCCGTGAGGCTTCTTAGTTGGTTTTACGGGGCCAACTGAGACTCGTCTCATATCATTCAAGAAGGTTCCGAGTTACCCAGCTCCACACTCCTGGGGTGTTCAATCTAATAATGGGTACGGAAAACTCGAGTTTATACTTATTGGCTATCGCCAACATGTTTTCCCGCCTTGTTTCGTAGACACGACGATCAAATCGATCGTCAGTTTCAACTTGAGCTCTCGTCGTGAATCTTGATCTTAACTTCGGAGCCTAGAATAGTGCAATACCTTTCCTATGAGACAAATGATCTACGCAGACGCAACGATTTTCGTAACTAAGTCTGGACGTCCCACTGTGTCCATGGTCCGTCCCCGACGAATTCCCCGCCTTTATGGCGAGGTCGTGGGCAAAACGTTGTTAGTGTCTTCATCCTATTCTTCCTCTCTTGGAGCCTAAGGTAGCAATCGCATCCAGCAGAAACAGAATCAGGCCGTCAGCATGTAAGATATCAAATTAAGCGCCTCTTGACAGGCAATCAGAGTCACTGCTATTATGACCGTTTAAACCCGAATCCTTCGGAAATCATACTCCGTAAACGAGACCCGGTTGTGGCGGCGGTGTCTGCTGTACGGTATCGTACGATACAGCTCGAGTCCATCCCACGTAAAGAAAGTTTGCCCTATGTTGGAACAGGAAAGAGTCTTCATGCTTGACGGCACAAAGAAAGTTCGAACCAGTGTGCACTGGGTGTTGAAGATGAGCTTGTTGAATATGTATCTCGGATTGAAGTATTGGTTGCCAGGTTGAAGGGCTAAAAAGTGTGGATCTAAGTACTGTCGCTGTAGTTCCGATATATATCCTTCGATCGCTTATGCTTCAGAGAAGGACTTCCAGTCACGCCGCTTATGTAGTTTAGAGTCTCACTCATTATATCAGTATGAGAGACGCATAGTCCTGGAGCTATCTTCAATAATTTGGAACCATAGAAGGATTGTAAATCATCTAGCCTTTCGAGCCGCTATGCACTTAAATCAAATCCAGCCAAGGAGTATTAAGACTTCTCAAATTCCAGCAAGCCTCCTCGATAATACCAGACCCTCGCAGCGTAGGTATTGGGACTCATCCATCATGGCCAACGGCATTCCTTGCACCCAGGCTTCAGGAACGTATAGGGACATTCTCTTACTGAGAGTATCGATGTACTGGGTGAGGTCGAGACAAGAGAGGGGCTGTTGCCAGCAAAATCCAAATAGAAGTACCAACCACGCCCTGATGTGGCTGTCCATCAAGAGGTAGCCATCCTCACAAGAGGCGACATCAACTGTGGATCGTTTTGTCGTCGAAGTTCTGAGTGTAGGTATTCGTCGCCACTCGAAGGGAGTCTCAATTTTGCGGTCATGCTCCAACACTGATGTGTGTATAAATCTATTCTGTCCTGTTTATACAACGGTAATTCAGTAATCATGCAGGATACGCAATCAGAGCGAACAGACAGCGAACAGACAGATCATACTTGTACCATTAGCCTCTAAGAACTCACTTTATGCCCCTGTGAGATCCCCGAGCATAAGATATTGCTTCGGTCGTCAGAGAGGACACAAGGGAAACGTATGTGCCAATCGACTTCATATCCACTGTGTATAGACGGGAGATCCTCGAGCCTCGAAGTTATCATGGGAAAAGGGTATCTGGCCCGCGCAGGAGAGCCGTAACAGGCTACCTGCTAACGCGTGCATAATTGAGACGAAGTCATGTGGACTTTCAGTATACCGAGAAGGGGATCTAAGGGCTCCGAGGTGATTCATCAGTGAGCTTTGCCGTGAAGGAGTCTGATGAGCGGAGGAAGGACGTTTCGTCGACGTTGACGTTGTACTAAGGGGAAGAGAGCAGTTAGCGGCACGGTAAGGACTCAAGGAGTTGGACTGAGAGTTGAGGGGTCGCTTGTATGTATACATATTCCTTACTTAAGGAGGCTTGAGCCTGGAGCTTCTGTAATGTTTGCGCTGGAATGATCCAGAGACAGTAGTGAACATTGTCAAAGAAAAGGATTGACAGAAATCAGGGACAAGAGGAGCCAGCGAAGAGTACCCCGTATGTTCAAATGTGAAGGTGCAATGTGCTTATGGTTGTTGATATGGCTCAGGCCCTTGATTATCAAGGGCCAAAGCTGCGAGGCTACGGTAAAGTGCCAATAATGCCATGATGTGATCAGTACACTAGAAGAGACCGAAATTTCTACGATTTGTCTTATCCCTTGATAATAGTCCATGGACTGCTTGATAGCGCAAGCTATTAATGAAGCAATAAGTCGTCAAGGAATAACAGTACATTCGATATCATTTTATTAACCCTCTTGGCGAAGACATGTTAATAATTCCTGTCAACAACGAAACCCCTATCCATCGTATCAATTCGTATGCTTTAAGCTCTGACTATTGATAGTGTGCAGACATATCCAGTCGAACTCTGCAGACTCCAAATTGAAGCACGATGCTCGAAGAACGGTGCGTCTGCCACAGTCGTTTGCAGTTCTCAATCGGCATGAAATCCGGTGGCGAGCTCGCAACTAATAGAAACAAAGACATTATTAGTTCGGACGTCAGCTAGTGATAGGGGGAGACCTACGGGTCCGCTGCGTGCTGGATGTTGCAATGTTCCCAATCAGCATCGCGAAGGATGGCCGCGCGGAATCTGACAGCATCATCGATACTGCAGAAGCGGAAGACAACGTTGCGTGGCTAGAGGCGTCATTAGCACGCAAACCACTCTTGGGGATGATCACCAGCTTACCTCTCCAGGGACGCAGGAGTCCACGATCTTCTCCACCTTGCGATTGTTGGTGCCGGCTAACTTAAGGAGTTCGCCCATGTTGATGTTCATGCTGACACCAACTGCGCGGACAACACGGGTGCTGCCAATGGAGAGATTGAAAGAAAGCTGAGAGCTGATGACATCGACTTCTTTGCCCATCTCCACGAAGACGGTTTTTCTCTTCTCCTTGTCAATGTCAATGCCATTGGGGTACTTGTCAAAGAAAGCCCTGCAGGCCTCGTGGTCGCAGAAAAGGATATGGGCTTGGTTGCCGGTAGGAGTGATGTGGATGCTCTCAACCATACCACCATGGATAAGTGACAGAACTTTGGCGGGAGTACTCCAAGCGGAAGGAAGTCCCTTGATAATGACGCGTCTAACTTGAGCCGCTAGCAAGATGCCATGTTAGCTTCCACAAGTCTATCCAAAGGAGACAAGAAGATTGATTGCATACCTGGCTTGTCACGCGCGACAGGGGTACCCCAAGACTTGAAGGTAGTAAGGTTCTCACGATCCTCTTCAACGACAGCATGGTCAGAAGACTTAGTAGCTGAGACAGCATTCTCAGAAGCTGCAACAGGAGTTTCCTGCAGGATGAACTCAGCCGCATCGCCGCGGAAGCCGGAAGCGGAGGTCTTGGGAGCTTCAGCGCCTTCAACGATGCCAGGCATCAGAGTCGTGTCGTTGTTATCAGTGTTGTTTTCAAAGTCACCAAAGCCGTCGTCATTACGCGAGTGGGGGGCTTCTTTATCAAGACAGATCGATGTCAGTTGTGATCTGATGAATGTTTGAGCCGCGTGGTAGAAGCCAACTTACCAGAGGGCCACGCGTCGTTGGAAGCAGACACGGGAGCAGATCCATTGGCATCAACAGGAGACTGTCCGCCAAAGTCATTGGAACCATTAGCGAAGCCATTCAGCTGAGTAGAAGTATCCTGATCAGCCTGAGTTTTGGCCGCAGCGGCAGCCTCACGAGCCTTCTTCTCTCTAAGAGCTCGAGCAAAGGCCATGAAGCCAGCAGCATCATCCACGTCAGCGACGGGATACTCCTTTGCGAGTTCAGCCATCTTGGATGGAGTGTAGGAATTGTATGAAGAATCGCCAGATGAGTGGCAAGGTTTAACGGGGCGGATGTTGGAAGGAAAAGAAAGTCCACTAGAGGTACGTGGGGTTTTGTTGACGGGGGCAACCTGGGAAGACTGTTTGGTGTTGGAAAAATGCAATTAGCTTCACTCTCACACCGTGTGCATGGCCTGCTTGTGCGAAGACGCCGATGTAATCAGGTGCACAAACACAATGCTGAAACGAACACTAAGAAGGAGAGAGAAATGGACGGAAGGAGGACCGACCTGCCGAGAATACTTCAATTCCTTTGCTTTATCTTTTTTCTTAGGTGCATGTCTGCTTTCCTGCAGGCCCTGAGAGTCCTTTCCCATGACATTGTCGAAAGCGTCAATGATCATGCCTGAGACTTGCTTGAGATCCATGGTCCCAGGTAGTCTGAGAGCGGTATCAAAGGCTTTTGCTAGCCAGGAAAACATAGAGAGAGCTGAGAAGGATGAAGGAACTTTCAGTCACACACTGTCACTGTAAGGGTAGGAGCGGAAAGAGGTGAGTAGTTGGTTAGATACAGAGGCATGGGCAAGTTGGTGGGAGCTTTATGCTTGTTATATAGCTCTCAGATGCTTGCTTAGCACAAGGCAATGACTAGCCCCCGGAATTATCCTTCACACTACCTGGAATTAGGGCACGATAACGGAAATATCCGTTTCACTTCACTCAGTGACAGGCACGATGAGATACACCAGCCGCCTTCACTGACAACATAAGGAGGCTGGTGGGGAGCGTCAAGCCTAAACCGTCAAGGACAAACAGTTAGCTTAAATATTCTTCAAGATATCACCTTTTTCTTAGGGCTGAAGCTTGGACATAGTTTCCAAAGTTATAACAGATCTGGGAGATGAGTATACAGCATGACAGGGAGGAAACAAATTTTGAAGATCGAGCTTCTGAGGGCTTCAGTCGATTATTTATGTATATCGCTTTCATATTAGACAAGAAGATAAGATACCAACATGGAACCGCCAATGGTAAGACTCTGTCGAATTCATGTCGACGGTACAGGGATACTTTCATAACCCTCCTGACCCGGCTTGCGATTTTCGACGATAACTTGCAGCCCTCGCCGCCCACAATAGCCGTCATTCCCAGCAATTCGATCGATCTGTTTGAAGGAACCACCACTAGCTTCATTTGCATCTGCAACCCAAACTGTTTCCTGAACAGTTTGACCAGGCACCTCTGCCCGTCGTGGGTTGTACCACGGCAACCCCACAAGGTGATTCCCAACGTTGTGGATGAAGGAATAGAGCTTCTCAAATCGGCGTGTGGTCCCAAGCCAGGACCAACTACGGAGGTCGTAGGCGACCCGCACGAATGGGTTCAAATAGATCCCGGTGTTGGTTATCTCATCTGGTTGCAGCTGAGGTTCCTGAATGTCCGCATGGATTAAACAGCACTCGGAAGCTTCCCAAAAGAGGTCGTGAGAGGCGCGGAAACGGGACGGAGCTTGAGTCGAACCCTTTCCTGCCGTGCCAGGCTGGAAGAATTTGGCATCAAAAGCAACCATTCCTCCCCAACAACTGCGTACACGCACGGCATCCTTCCCAGCTAGCACATCCTTTCGGCTATCACCATGTCCGGCTGTTGAAAACCACGGAAAGAAAGGAAGACCCATTCCATAACCCTGCAGGTCACGAGTGGCGTACGTGTCATAGAACTTGAAGGGGTTGATGAAGTCGACTGCGCAAGCTGCCCGATATTGAGCAACCCCATTTTGATCTGCATTGGTGGAGAACAACAGCTGAAGAGCGTCAACCGGATCGAAAATGACGTCGTTCAGGTACAGGAGCTTGTCGTAACGCGTCCCAGGATCATCGTCCAGCGGTTTCAAGGCTCGGTTGCGAACCTCTGCGAGATACTCGATGCGCTTGATACGTTCCTGTCCGCCGGGGACTGTAACTCGGGGCAAGCTGCCCAGATTCAGATGCTCTTCGAAAATGATGGAGCTCTTGCATGGTACCCGCTCCTTGAAACCCTGCAATGCGCTTTTACCCTCTGGCCCGCTATCATTCTCGTATATACTTAAGAACACATTATCTCCTCCCAGCATGTCAATGAGCTGAAGAACTCGATTGCCCCATTCTCCGCCTGCTAATTCCCCGCCGCGGTCATACAGGCTCGCAGCCACGAAGACCTTCTCGTTGCGAATGTTGCCTCTGCCCGACCTAGTCGATTGCGAGACTGCATCCCGGAGAACTGAGTAATGCGACGGCGGACGAGTATAGGATGGACGAAAGATTGAAGTCAATACGACGAGGGCTAATATAATCCCTGTAACGACATGGATATAGAAGCAGGAGCGGCGTAGAAGGAGACGTCGATAACAACTCGGTCGCGATGAGGCGGATAGGATGCGTCGAGAAGATTTGAGGCGACGGTAGCCGGATGAAGTTGACGAGAAGAGCCGCGATAGGACGGAGAACCGGTTGAGAAGCCGTCTGGGTCTGGGGGGAGCCTGTGACTCGAAGTCGGCCTCGTCTAGGTTGAAAGTTCCCTGAGAGTCGACGGAAGATCGAGCGTCAAGCTCGTACTCATCCGGGTGCAGTAGACGGGCAGACATGACGAAGAATCGTCATCAGCTGCTGGAAGCAATTTGCCGACCCATTCCTCGAATGTTCTGTATCAGCTGCGCTAGCATCAATGGGACATGCGCAAGAATTAGATATCACTCTCCTCGTCGTCTCGGCTCAAGGCATGACTTTCTCCCAGTTGGTGTCTGATTATGTCAGCCACGAGCACCCTCCGCCAAGGCTGAGCCTGGAGATCGCTGAATGATCATCGCTTTGGCTTTTGCCGCGTCCAGTCGGCATCAACTGATATTGAGTGCCAACCTGTCAAGGCATGAGGCAAACCGAAAGACGAAATTTTCCGATGTCTTATCTCGTAAACATTGCCAGCTACCAAGGTTTGAGGATGGCAGTCCCAGATTTCTCCGCTCAATTCTCCGTGCCACCCCACCCGGAGTGAGCGTCATCGGTGGTCATACCGTCAGAGAGGCCATAGTCCGTATACTGAGTAGAAAACTGGAGTTTATCCGGCTTTAATACGGACAGTGGACCTTTGACCGTGCTGACTGTCCTTTCCCAGTCTCCGCTTCTTACCCTTTATATAGCTGTCAATTCCGGTTCCTGGACCAAGGTTCTTGAACCATTTCATCTCCATTTTCATCCTTCTTTCTTTGCAAACGGATTGCAGCGTTCACATTGTTCCGAAAGGCCTTTCCCAGGTTTATCCCAAGCTTCAAATACAATAATACAGCAACGGAGCAATATGTCTCAAGCTGGGTTTACATTTGCCAACTCCTCGGAAAAGGTTCCTGGTAATGACACGTTGCCTCCTGAGTTCACGATAAACGCGAGTCCTTCTACGGATATCTGGTCGAAACCGCCCTCAACGGAACGCTTCAATGCACCCATCCTCTATCGCAGTGTGCCGCTGAAGTCATTCAAGAGGGCCCGAGTCGCAGTCCATGCCAATTGGCTGCAGAAATACGACCAAGGCGGCCTCATCCTCGTGTCGACTGCCGCAAATGGAACCAGAAAATGGGTGAAAACAGGCATTGAGCTCACGCACGGCAAACCTCATCTGAGCACTGTCGCGAAAGACCGTTGGGCGGACTGGAGCTTGCTTGCCATCCCTTCTGGCGGAGCAGCAGCAACCATCGAAATCGTCAGGGAAGCAGACGAGAGCTTGTGGATTTACTTAGTCGAGGGTGTCCAGAAGTCTCCTCTCCGTGAGATTACATGGTTTTTTGAGGAGCAAGAAAACGTCGAATGCTGGGTTGGCGTTTATGCTGCGAGGCCGTCAGGTGAGGGAGGTGATTTAGTGGTCAACTTTGGACATCTGATTGTTGATCTGGCCGAGTAATACTCGGCATTTACATGTATGGAATGACACGTGTATGTGGTAGACGAGCAATGTCAGCGAACTCAAATCTTACAGGATCCCATCGGCAGTAAGAGGGCTCTTGAGGTTAGCACCTAGAATTCAAAATGACAGTGTCAAGAATCGTACTATTGAGTCCAAGTCTGGCTCGGTTACGCCCACACCTTGGACTCGTATATGTTTCTCTTTCTAAACAACGCTAACGGATGGGTTGGTCAAGCAGTTGCTGGTGCTTGGTACGCTCATGCAGGCATTTGTTGAGGGGTTTGTTATCGAGATACAGTACCTATACCTATTCGGGCCTAACTGAGCTTAAGAATGGACGTCAGAAGTTCCGTTTTACAAGTTGGCGCTCAGTACGCAGCCGGCCTCGAATACCAAAGTAAAAGTCAAGGCAACCAGAGCGCCTTACTCATATCTAAAGTCGAAGTTCTGAGAAGTCTCGTCGGAGAATATGACACTAGTGGAAGTGGTTGAGAATATTACCCGTTTGAGGCAGTAATCCAGGATTGCAGACACCACACAGACCGTAAGCTCGTTGACCCACTCATAGTTTCTCTACTAGTCACAAATTGTCACGGAAAACCTCAGGTATCAGAGTGATGCAGCACTCCTTCTCTGTTTTGTTGACAGTCCATGACTGTGCACAAATGATGATATGGTATGGCTTTTGTGCTTCTTCAGATTGTATCCCTAAAACAGCCCCCATAGATTGACTAAAAAAGAAATCTGATCTAAAGGCCTCTTGTTGACTCCATTAAGTACTCTCGGAGGGGCTCGTATTACTTTCATACCTTGTGCAGCTGTGCTGCCTGAGATAACCCGCACGTCCCCACTTGCATAGCTCATCTCTTCGCTCAGCTGGCGGTCAGCACTCAGAATCTCGATGACTTCAAAGTTACAAAACATTGTGATGACTTACTAATTACCTGAGCTTTATTATCTGCAAAGTGTTATACTGTAATTAGCCCAAGAGGAGGCCGAATAATATTACTCACTGTGCTCTGTAGGGTATTGTAGATTGATTGATAGAATGAGGGATATTCCGTCGGACCGCCTGCAGCGGGTGATCTTATGATCTTATCATATCTGATGGGATCCTTGATTGCCACCTGATTAGGAATGTGACTCGACTACTCTCCCGCATTCCCGCAAGTACCCAAGTCCAACCCGACTTTCACCCCCACTTGTTATCCTCACACCACGCTTGTCCGACTTGCAAGCCGATCTTCCTCTTGTTCAGTTCTTGCCGTGATTATCTGATGATTTCTACAGTCTACCACGATCCCCGATTTCGATGATTCCTCCCTTCTCCGATTGCCGCACAACCTGAACGCCGAGGGGCAAGCGCCTTGATCACTTATCGATAACCAAGCCTAAAGGGGACATGATAGACTTGACAGTTCATGAACCAAGAGCACATATTGTACAAAGCAGGGCAAGGCTCTCCAATATCTTGGTGCCTCGCGGGGCCATATTACCTATTGGAGCCTCGGGCGTCAAGCCCATAGGCTCTTGCGGATCTCATATTTGCTGCAACCCACGTCGACGTGCATAAGTGCGCCTCTAGATCGTGTTGCGCGGCTGGAATTAAATAATAATTCGAAAGGATTATCGGACTCCTGACTCGACCACTGGGTCTTCCTGTGCGGCTGGCTTACACCCATATCCGCTCTTGGTAGATCTGCTACTGATGAATTGGGTTCCCGACTCGGAGCATCGCGGACGTTTCTCATTGTTTTCTTCTTTCCCTTTCCTTTACTGGGATACCCCTGATTTTTCAACTATCTGCACTTTGCTTTTTCTACTCAGGTCATCGACCGGCTCGGACCACGAATACCCTCGAACTTCAGCTCACTCATACCTAGTGTGATCACTGCTTTCTCGGTGTCTTGCTTCGGTTACGACTTGTTGATTCTGTTACACATACACTCGCGCTCCTCTTCGAGACCACTTCTTGTCGGCATCTATAAATGGACGTCGCTTGTACAGAAACAATACATCTGAGTTTCTCTCTGACATCTCATTCCAAGCGAAATGCCCCTTCTCGATCACCGAACAGGACCCTCTTATGGCACAATCGACCAGATGGATCAACACAGCGATGATGAAGGAGAACGGTTTCTTCAGGAACAGTATGATACCGGCGGATTCAGTAGTGACATAACGTCAATTTCGGAAGATTCGGTGCAGGAAGGCGTCAGAAAAATCGAAGCGATCAATTTGACTTGGACTGCGCGGTCTCTAGTCATAGCATATGTCAGGTCAGTTCATATCGAACATGCACGGCGCACTTTGTCATACTGACATCTTCGAACAGCATCTTTCTCATGTCATTTTGCACGTCTCTAGAGGGCCAGACCGTCATGTCACTCGGAGCATATGCAACGAGTGCTTTTAGCAAGCACTCCTTGATATCCACTGTTTTGGTCGTCCAGAACGTGGTCAACGGTACGTACTATTACCTTGCCGGTCTATAATATTGCAGCGTAGGGTCAGCTGACATATCGCAGCTGTCATCAAACCTCCTATGGCGAAAGTCGCGGATGTCTTCGGTCGCTTCGAAGCATTCTGTGTTAGTATCCTCATATACGTGCTTGGATATATCCAGATGGCCGCCTCCACCAACGTGGAAACTTATGCGTCTGCTCAAATATTCTATTCCGCCGGTTCCACAGGTCTCCAAATACTTCAACAAATTTTCATTGCTGACAGCAGTAATTTGCTGAACCGTGCCTTTCTGGCGCTGCTACCTGAATTCCCTTTCCTTGTGACTGTCTGGATTGGGCCGACTATCGCGGATGCGGTGCTGAAGCACGCCTCGTGGCGCTGGGGCTACGGGATGTGGTCGATTATTCTGCCCGCCTCTTTTTTGCCCTTAGCACTTTCCTTGTTGCTGAATCAACGTAAGGCAAGGAGGCTGAACCTCATTAAGTCGAAGTCTCGGCACCGCGGCGGCTTCTTTGCAGTATTGCGCCGTACATGGTATGACTTGGACATGGGCGGCTTGATCCTATTATCCGCGGCGGTTACGTTGATCTTGGTGCCTCTTACTCTCGCTGCAAACTCAAAGAAGGGTTGGAAGTCCAACAGCATTGTTGCGATGATCGTGATCGGCTTAATCTGTTTGATCGCGCTGCCATTCTGGGAAAGCTCCAAAAGACTGGCTCCCAAGCCCCTTTTGTCCTTGCATCTTCTTAAACAGCGGACCGCTCTTGCTGGCTGCACCCTTGCATTTTGGTATTTCAGTGAGTGTTTACTGTTCTTTTCCGCGAGATGTCCCCGAACTTTTGCTGACGCACCTCAGTGGCGTTTTATTTCTCTGTTCAGCCTTACTTTTATTCGTATCTCCAGGTTGTTCAAGGTTACGACGTCGCTACCGCTGGCCGGGTTACTCAAACATTTGCCTTCACTTCGACAATTGCTGCCTTTGCGGTCTCTATATTGATCAAATACACCCGGCGCTATCGGATATTCGTCATTACTGGCTGCGTGGTCTATATCATCGGGATGGTGCTGATGATGGTAACCCGCCGTGAAGGAAGTACGCCAGCGCAAATCTTGGTGACTCAGGTCGTCGTCGGCATTGGTGGCGGGCTTCTCAATGTTCCAGTACAGTTGGGAGTCCAAGCATCTGCGAGTCACCAGGAAGTTGCCGCGGCCACGGCCATGTTTCTGACGTCCATGGAGATGGGCGGCGCGGTTGGCGCTGCACTATCGGGGGCTGTTTGGACCCATAATATCCCACGCAAGCTTCGACTTTACCTTCCCGAAGAGAACAAAGGAGATGCGGATGCAATTTTCGGCAAGATAACGAAGGCGCTCTCGTACCCTCTTGGGTCACCCGTCAGGGTCGCTATCAACCAAGCATATCAGGAGACGTTCAAAAAGCTGTTGATTCTGGCTCTCATTGCCGTAGTACCGTTGATACCCTTAAGCTTGGCGATGGAAGATTACAAACTTGATAAGGTTATTCATGATTTTATTCTCACCTTTGATCAAGGCTAACTGCTCGACTAGATGAGCGAAGAACCTCTGGTTGAACCAGTCCCCACTGAAGAGGAAGAAATCGAACCGAATAGACACGTCAAACGAACGTGAAAAAGCCTTTGATCCCTTGAAGACATCTACAGCTATGCTGCATCCAGCGGCAGTGCCATGAATTTTACGAGCTTATGCGACGCAAGAACTTCACCAGGTGAACGAAATCATTGCCTGGAATTAACCATTGAATGACACGAAGAAAACAATGCTCGCATCAGTCAGCAACCAACCATGCATTTCTATCGGCGCAAGGGAATATGGTGTACATATCACATTGCAGGACCCTTGATATGCTCTGGCTAGAGCAGATTCCGTCTCGGTTACAATTTCTCAAGAACGAGATTGTACAAGAAGGCGCAGGATTGTCATGATATCTATATAGACGCAGTTACGAACAGAATGATTAGACGACTATTATCTATCACTAGGCTTGTTTTGTTTTATCTATGCATTAACCGCTTTCGTATTCAGGTGTTATTCGCCTAAGTCGCTTGGCCGCCTGATCCAAGTCTCCTTCCTGAAAGCTGGCATTACCGCGTAGCTCATACCATCAACAAGTTTATGGATCAGCCCATGTAGCCTTATTGTATCCGATCAGGGTACTCCAATCGGCTAGTTCAACTGAACTGTCGTGGTTGCCTATCACATTAAGCGACTGAGAGAATGCCCATTCGATGAGTTCTGGGAGAGCCACAGAGTAGTTGCGCTTGTATTGCGTTCGGATTTTTCATCTGGATTCCTAGCCTTGTAAAGACAAAGAAGCACTGTCAACTAGCTCCTTCAGTTTCCTGGCCAGGGTGCTGAGCATTCTAAGCATGGTAACGCAAACAGGCAACATAGCGAAACTCCGTTTCGGAGTCCGAATAATTCGCTGGGACACCAGCGACTGCATTTCTAATCAACGTTAAAGAACGATTCTTATCCTGTGTTGGTCAGGATTGGCTTATGCAGGTCTGAAACGTGGCTGTATGCACGGTAAATGACACCTCACGGGGAAACTGGCCAACGCTAAGGTACTTCTCTCGACAGCTTAGCTGTAGATGAGAACTTGGCCTGGAATCACTGACGACGGTCACTTCTCGCAGTCAGCCTTTGCTCCGCGAGCGTCCTCCTATGGTTATCATCCACCGGACTTCCTATCAACTCGTATTTATCACAGTTCAAGCTCAGATCAATTGTGATGCTTTTGTATAAGCCCTTACCCTCTTTGACGGACGAATGACTCAGGGCCATCAGGCCGACAATCCACACAAAGCAGGATAGATCTTGTGAGAACATGAATCTCACTACGAGCTAGATGCGAATATCACAGATTCAGTCTGCATACTAGCTTGTTGGAAAGCCAATAAAAACCAGTCTTAGATGGTTAGTGTGTTTTGAAAGCCTTGTCAGGGCGCTCAACATGCTGGCGAGGGCAGTCGACTCGAAGCTCGAAATCTCCAGTCACATAGCTGGAGAGGACGAGTGAGCAGTTATAATAAGCTCCTACAGCGTGGAGCTCTGGTGAAGGTAGATAGCCAAATGGCCAATTCAGACTGGCTGCTGGCGAGTCCAGGCGCTAAATGGCAGAGTCGTGTAACAGCACAGTTGGATGCGGATGGACGATGACTTGTTAGTATTTTTGCGCACTCGCTCCCTCAGAAGCAGGCTTCCATGCGAATGGGCGCAGCAGAAAATATAAGTTAAAAGGATCAAGGTTGATTTTTTCCGAGGCGGTTACAGGAGTTGCAGTGTGAGTGTGACCATAGCATTGCTGCTTCCTATTTTCTTGCCTGTGGAGCTGCATTCATGTGGTTATTTGTTTTCCGACGATCACGTCTCAAGTTTGACCCGATCCATAGCCTAAAATTTTACTAAATAGTCGAACCGAAGGACCAGCAACGGTCCAGACAAATATGGAGGTGATTGCGAAATCTGACTGGCCGAGAGAGCGTAACTTGAATTCTGGCGTGTTATTGACACCTCTGGATCTGGTCCGAGTCATAATTTTGCTTGTACAAATCGGCGACCATCTTCACAGTCAGGACACGGAGACTCGCATTACAGGGGCACACTGTCTAGAGTCTCAAGCCATTGAATAGGGCCTAGCTATATAGCTGTTACTCGATGTTAAATCAACTGTTTTTCGGAAAAACCTCGCAAAAGCGTGAGCGTGGGGTCGACTCCGCGCGAATACTTCTCACCGTCCAAATCAACCGCGGCTGCTTCCCCTTCCCCTCGTTGGAGAGATGCAACGCTTAGTATGGGGCCACAATCGAATAGTGTTCTCTTCAAAAAGGGGGATAAGACTAGGCAATAGGAGCGCAAATTGTGTGCTTAGAGCTTCGGAATATCAGACCGATGACAGCTGTTGACGATGAAACTAATATGACGAGACTGAAATTTTGTTTGTCACGATCAGTCTTGCTTGATGGGTTCTGTATTATACGACAACATGCAACAGAGTTGCAAATGTAGACGATGGCAACTGGAGTAATGTTTATCATCAAAGCAGCCGAGAGACTTTGATGGTGTCAGAGAGAGTAGACAGGCATTGAGACACAGATACAGCTTCCACTTTTAAGGTACTCCGCAGACTACTGTATCTGAGTCCTTACCTAGGTAGCTCGAGGGTACTTAGGGACTCTTGCTGTTCCTGTTAGTTGCTCCGTACCTAGCTAAGAGTCCTCTCTCCCTTAAACTGTTAGAATGCTAGACTGAGCTCTGTCCCTCCTCCTCCTCCTCCTCCTCCTCCTCCACTTCTCCCGCCCGCCCACATTGGCTGGCTCGAACCATCACTCCTGTCCTCTTTCATTCACGGATACTCAGTGACTGAACTGCCTTACCTAGCCTTTCACCGCACACCACCATACCATACTCTTTCTCTCTCTCTCTCTCTCTCTCTCTCTCTATCTGCTGGCTGTCCTTCTTCCCATCACCTTTACTGTTCTCCATCTCCAAAATAATTATTTCCATCTCATTTTCTGTCTTGACAGTCCCCTCCACCTACTACCTCTTGTCCCCATTCACCACCATCCTTCATTATCTAGAACCTGCCATCTCCATTTTGTCTCCTTTTTGACGATCCTCCTCACCGCGATTTCCTCCCTTATCTATTATACTTTCACGCACCCTCGCTCCTCAGCGCCGTTCTTGAGCCTGAGGATCAACTGGAGCACTTTTTTAACGCTCTCTCTCTCAAGAGGACATTTCTATATCTACGGTTTGCAATATGGTGGTAGCTACAATCAAGTACGTTGAATAGTCCCCATTTCATCACTTCTGTCTTCGTTATCAACCTCCCCTTCCTTTTCCCTCCTTCTATTTCCCCCCCTTGGCCTTTCTGGGTAGTATCTCGAGTGGACAGTCAAATGCTAACGAGGTTCTTTTCACTATCTACAGGTGTGTCGTCGTTGGTGACGGTGCCGTGGGAAAGACATGTCTTCTTATCTCGTATACAACAAACAAGTTCCCCTCAGAATATGTCCCCACCGTCTTTGACAACTATGCGGTTACTGTCATGTAAGTGACATCTAACTCTCGATTTTGCGGTTGACAATGCACCCTTGCGATACAATCTCGTCCTTTCATTCTTCGCACACGGACCCCAGTAGTCGAGATTAGCACTCTGTGGGAAGCGACTTCGTCGATTTTCAGCGCCCGAAAAGAGCTATCATTAACTAACTCGGATTCGCGTGCTATAGGATCGGCGATGAGCCTTATACCTTGGGATTGTTCGATACCGCCGGTCAGGAGGATTATGACCGTCTCCGCCCCCTTTCCTACCCTCAGACAGATGTCTTCCTCGTCTGCTTCTCGGTGACATCTCCTGCCTCATTCGAAAACGTTCGCGAGAAGTGGTTTCCCGAGGTGCACCACCACTGCCCCGGTGTGCCCTGTTTGATCGTCGGTACTCAAACTGATCTTCGGGATGACCCTGCCGTTCGCGAGAAGCTCGCCCGTCAGAAGATGCAACCCATCCGCAAGGAAGATGGCGACCGTATGGCGAAGGAGCTGGGTGCTGTAAAATATGTCGAATGCTCCGCTTTGACACAGTACAAGCTCAAGGATGTCTTTGATGAGGTTCGTATCGGCCGCGATACGAATTGGATAAGTCATATCGGACGCTAACTCGGATCTCCAACCATAGGCAATTGTTGCGGCCCTGGAGCCCGCCCCGAAGAAGAAGTCCAGATGCGTCTTGCTGTAAAATCTTCCATCCAAAACTTCTGTACATCAGGCGATTCAGGTCGGTCCACTCTGGAAGAAGCCTCTTCTCATTGAGGGTATTGTCCCATTGACACCAGCCCCAACAGAGATATTACGCGATTCAGATTTTATCGAAGAGTGCCACAGTTTATGGAGTTTCGGAAGCCTGCTTTCCCAGCTACAGGGTCACTGCTTACTCGATTAACGTCTCACTGTAATCTCTCGAGCTCTTCTTTCCGCGGTACCGCTTTCGTCGAAACAATGATCCATTCCTATCCCCAGCTTGGCCATTCACACGATACTTTTGATCCTTGAATCTTCGCCTTGTGCCGATCATCAATACGCAACGTTATATCCTCTTGCGGCAAGCTAACACCTTTTATCTTCTCCTTGCTCACTCTGACGGGTTCATCTCTCTTTCCCTGCTCTATTTGTCCCCTACCTTTCTCAATCTCCGTGGTCTTTATCCTGCTTGATCAAACCACTCTTGATCCTCGATTTTCATTACCCCAGGTTCCGATCAAGCTCTCATCGTCTCTATCGGCGTTGGAAGTCAGGGCGTCGTTTTGGCTGGCTGATGATACTAGTCTGTTTTCAGAGTCTCTTTTTTTTTTTCTCCTCTTTTCCTGATTCTGATCTTGCTCCGTGATCTGTCGCTTCTTGTCACCAAATATTCCCTCCTACTTCGACTACATGCTTTGACCCTCTTCATGACGCTTTATTATGATTTTCGCAAGACACATGGAACTAGAGAAGTACAGACGACAGATACAATCAAGCAAATGACATGAGCTGGGTGAATTCCTTAACGCTGCGTTACTCTACTTAGCGTCCGCGTTTACGGATTGGCTTTGTCGACTTGTACGTGG